AATAATTTAATTAAAATTTTTTATACAATTTAAATTATTAAATTAAAAATGAATTATTTACATACTTTCTCATTCACTCTATTTACTCAGCATCCTATTGAAACATTCTCTTTTCCTTCCTCTCCTCTTTCTCATCCTCTCACTCATCTTTTCTTTAGTTCATACTCTTAAGCAGGCTTCTTTCATATTTTTCATCCCATCACTTTCTTCCTTCTTTCAGCCTGGATTCTTGAGTAGGCTTTTCTCCTCTTACTTATCCTTTTTTTCCACCTCCTCACTTTCTTCCTTTCTTCAGCCTTGTATTATTACTATTATTAGAGTGTGGAGAGCCTTGAGTAGGTTCCAAATTCTAATAATAATAATTCAAGTTAAATTTATAATCCTTCGAATAAAAACAATATATATTATTTACTTCATTTTTGAAAACAAAACAGAAAGATTTTTACTTTACTTGAAGTGGAGAATTCTTCTAACATCTGAACAGCAATTTTATAAGAAAAAAACTAATAACAATGTTTCTTACACCTCTAAAAAACGAAAATGTCACCCTATAGAGTTGTTTCCACTCGATTTTTATTACTATTATTTCTTTCGTAGAATAATTCAGGCTTAAATAATAAACGTCTTCGACAGACATTAAATTATTTTCAGAGTTAAAGCATAAAATAAACATTTTTTCAAACAACTGAAAGTCACTTGATCTATATAAATCTTACAGAAGGGAGGGGGAAAAACCTTTTCAGTTTAATCCACATTTTCCTTTAGAAGCAGGGCGAAATGTCAATCCAAGAAATTCAATCTCTTTAGAAGGAATATAAATCGTTTTACGGGAGAGAAAACATCGCAATAAAGGATCAAGGGGTGATGCTTTCTTTACAAAAGGAATCTATCTTCTATCCATCATCTGTTTACTTAAAATCTTTTGTAAATCAATCTACACACCCCTTACAAATCGCTCAGGGATATTCCCTTTAATATAAGGATTTATATATATATATATATATTTCTTATTTCCTTAAAGAAATTATCGACTTAAAAGTGTCATGTAAAATTTTAAGTACTTTGTATAAAATACTATAATACAGGGTAGTAAATTGATCCGTACAACAAAACTAGGCCTCGCTTTACGACCGATCAATTTGCAACTCCTACTTTCAGTATGAATTTATTATTATAGTCGAATTTTCTTTGTAACAAAGTAAAACCTGCTTAAAACGGAATGCGACAATAACGGCCGTTGTTGTACGTTTTCGCAGGTTTTCGTTTTATAGAGAGTTATATTTTTTTACTAATGCCAAAAAGTGGGTTAAAATTTGTTACAATTCATGTTTAAAATAGCTTAATATAAGTGTTTCATGTTTTAAAATCATGTTGAAAGACAAGTAGAATGTGTAATGTGCATAGAAAAGGGAAATCTGAGTAAACACCATTGAAGTGTGCTTTGTTATAGAATGTGGCATTTTTACGCCCAAAAATTCCGTTTTATTCAAGTTAAATTATGCAATTGATGACTAGAAAAGACTTCCGTTTCCGCTTTAGACAGGTTTTTCGGCTTGTAGTAGTATATTTCACAGAAAATGATTCTGATTTCGTTCTGTGATTTATTTTACGCTTTGTAGACAGGTTTACTGCAATGCACGATTAAAACTTCTTATGTAATAACGAGATTTTACATGTGCCAATTATATCGTAAAATCATAGATCCTCATCAATGGGCTTGTCACTCATTAATGAGGATCTACGAGAAATTGGCTCCAGTTGTTCTGTGGTTTTAACCTCTCGTTCACTGGTGGGCGAAGGATCATAGATAATTTAGTACTTTACAAAATATAAATATTAAATATATTATTTAATTTCTTATATTGATAGCGATTTATAGAAGTTGAAAGCTTATCGAGCGTGACGAAAATCATTTGGTAAGTAGTCAAATATAATTTGTAAGGAAAGTTTTGAAGTAAATTGTTGAACTAGTCGGCAATTTATTCTCTCTGTTATTATGTAACTGAACCATAACGGTTCCATTATATTGTTAAACTAACATAGAAATTAGTTTCTAACATATTTGATAAGTAAATATTGAAACTTAATATGCAATTTGTATAATTAGTGGAGGAGTAAGCTAAATTTAAGTATATCAAATAACTTATAAAACTTTTATATAAAATAAAGAGATTAATATAATTTAAATATTTATATAAAATACATAAAAGTTAACCTTTCATTGTAAAAATTTCATTAAAATTAACTGTAAGTGTGACTGTTCGTACTTTAAAACTTTAATTTATTTTATTTCTCATGGAATTTTTAAATATATTTTTAATGCTTTTATTACTCTGTGAACATTAAACACTATATAAAAACTCGATATAAACAAGCTAAAAGATGTAATAAGCCTTTTTTTAAAGCGTATTAAGCAAGGCTCACAATAGGGCAACTGAAAGAATTTACATGTTAAGAACGTAAAATTATTATAAATTCTGTTTATAATTTATAAAATTGAATGATTTTACTAGGTTTTTTATTTATTTTCAGACATTAAACACTATAAAAAGCCTTTCACACATCTTATAAAACTCTATATAAACAAGCTGCAAACCAGGAAAAAAAAGGATCTTTTTTCAAGCCTCAGGCTTACAATACGGCAGCTGAATAAACTTACATTTTAATAAGGTAAAATCGTTATAAATTCTGTTTAATTTGATAAAATTTAAGTTTTAAAAATAAATATTTCCTCTCGTATTCTTAGAAGATAAGTGATGATGCATAAACTTATCTGCAAGGCATCCATACCAAAAAGTGAAAGACTTTTTTGTTTTACTTTCTGTTCAAGAAAAATATGAAAAATTCAATTTAATCAAATATCCTTAAAGCTATTTTAATTCTTTAATGAAATTTACAACAATAAATTATATATATATATATATATATATATTTAAATATTAAAAAAAAAAGAAAAAAAAAAATTGATGCTCNTATATATATATATATACTTAGCCTTTTATTTATTTATATTTTTTTAAAAAGCTTAAAAAGTTGGAGTATATTAATCTGTTAATTAAGATATTTATTGCTTCCATTAAAAAAACAATAAACATAAATTTTCTAACTAAACTTGCAATTATGAATAAGCAAGCTGACAAGAACATTTTTCATTATATCAATTATACGGATGTTTACTGAAATTTAAAAAACCATTAAACTTTATTAAGTGACTTTTTCAGTAAACAGCCTAAAAAAATTAATCAAATTTTTCTGTTTTATGCGTTAAAAATGCATACATTATTTACAGAAAACGCCATTAAATATTCACTAGGTTGTTATAAAAACTGTCTTGTGATAAACAAGATGACTAACTCCATTCTTGAGATTAACGAAGGGCATATAGACAGTTGGACAGACGAATACAACAATCGAAACGATCGATTAGAACTAATTAGAGCTTAAGAAACGACTAAATCAAGTGATTTTACATTTGTATACATGTTATGGACAAAGTGATTAATTGGGCATTATTCATAATGCCCGGTCATTATGAATAATGACCAAAAAGGGCGCGCAGTGTGATAAATATTGATTAATTTATCAAATTGACCAGTTATTATGAATACTGCTATCATCTAGTCGGGCAAAGTGATAATAATACGTTGAGGAGTGATCATTCAACAAACGCTAGCCAATTAACACTCTGAGTTGCTTATTGTATCGTGTTGTGTGCGTATTGTATTTAGTACTGAATTTTAATTGTGCGACATTTTAATTTGATTTAAAAAAACTCCATTTATTTCATTTAGAAATATTTATTTTTGTGAATTATTTCAAAGTATTTTAAAAAGAACACGTAATTTTTTAAAACTAAGTACTATTAACTGTATTAATTAAATAGTAAAATTTTACCTATGTGCACCATCATGGCGGCAGTCGCAACTGTTTGTGCTCCCAACGGATTCCTTCCGGAGGAGAGCCGCCGGCAAGCCGCCTATTGTTTAACGTCACTAGATATTGATACATACTAGTTATTGATACGTGTGTTCAATAACTACCATGAATTAATATCTAGTGACGTTAAACAATATGTGGCCTGCGAGAGGTTCCCCTCCGGGAGGAATCAGTCGAAAGCACAAACAGTTGCGTCCGCTGCCATATTCAGTACTGAATGCAACACGCACGTGCAAATCAGATGCCAGTACTGATTGGCTAGCATATTTTGGATGATCACTCCTCAACGCCTTATTATCACTTTGCCCGACTAGATGATAACAGTATTCATAATGACCGGTCAATTTGATAAATTATTGAAATTTATTACAGTGCCACATTTTTTTTTGTATAAATTTATCTAATTTTTAAGTTCTTGCCAACAGATAACGTTACACGGAGAGTCAGCAAATCTAATGTATACCGATATTAATTAATATATAAAAGTCTAATCAATAGTTTGAAGTGTCATTTACGTCATTATCTAAGTTAAAAGTACTTTAACCTAACTGCTAAGTTTCGTAGCAATTGGCGAAACAGCCTAGGCGTGCATAGCGAACAAACATTTTAGTAAAGGGAAAGGCTATGGAATAGGTTCCAGTTGCCATACGTAAGTCGCGGGATCGTTTTCGATTTTAGGAAAAAAAGCAGGAATTTAGTAAATATTATTACTAGAAAAAGGAATTGTGTGATGGGATATGATAAAGCAAACTATGTGCGATCTGCCTCCAGACAATTTTTAAGTGTTAAACACGTGAAGAAGACCTGGAATACTTCACATAATCAGCCCGCTGGTAAGGCGCGAACCCACGACTACTACCAGAATCCAATGGTTTTATTCACTCGTCCACGATCAGCCTGAAGTAGAGAATAGTTTGTATTTACGAGGCATGGGTTCGGATCGTGTTTATGGGACCGAACCCATGACTCTCGAATTAAAGTAAAGTTTTAATTTTTACATAAAAATAACTCAATTTAAATTTTATTACTTGCTACATTTTGTTTTTTATTTACAGGATAGAAGATACAATTTGTTGAAGTGCAGCTTTCACAACCTTTGTTACTGTAGAAGTAAAATAACAAAGAATACGTTCTGTTGCGATTGTTCTTTAGGTCCGTGTTTTCCAGCAAAATCTATAATTTACACTCCTAATGGTAATTTATTGATGAAGGATTTAAAGATTGGTCATGAAGTATTAACAGGTAAACATAAAAGTGAAAGTTAGAGGAACATATTGGGTTGATGCAAAAGTTTCTGAAATTTTCTAGAATTTTATACAGTGGGGAAGTAAAATCTCAAGCTGCAAGTGCGATTTTCATCCCCTCGTTATCAGCGAACTCATTTCCACCCAAGAAATGTTGCGTGGAGTGGAAGAAATGGTAGTCGGATGGTGCAATGTCTGGGCTATATGGGGGTTGAGGGAGAACCTCCCAGCAGAAATCAAACAGATTTTGCTTTGACACACATGGTCTTGTGTTATCCCAAAGAAAGCGCACAATGTTTATTTATGGCTGCTTAATTTGGATAGAATCAGCCAAACGTTGCAGCAAAGCTCAGATTGCGGATGTTATAGTGATGTTCCTTGAAAGCATCTTATAACGGACTAGTCCGCAAACATCCCACTAATTACCTAACATAATCATGCGCTAATGCAATTCCGGTTAAGTTACACACATCTTTTCACTTTTCAATATGCACCTCAACACCTTTTATTTACATACCCCACAAGAAACTTCTAGATTCCACCTATCGGTGGTCTAAAAAATTTCTGAAGTTTTGCATGAATCCAATAGAATTAAGATCAATTTAATTCATTCTTAGCGCGATGCCATGCAACGGGTTTCAACAGTCGCGAGCGAACGAATTAAAAAATCCAATTTAATTAATAAGAATAATCTGTGCTTTCAGTTGATAATGGCAAATTAGTATTTACTAAAGTTGTCGCCTTTATGGATAGAAGACCTTCCGGTCAAGCTGAATATTTAATTTTACAAACAGCTAACGAACAATCGATTCGAATATCTGCAAATCATTTAATCTTCTCTTCTATGAATAATGTTACAACACTAGAAACCAAGTAAGAAATTTATTTTTAATGCAATAAAACAATATTATTTTTCATAAATATTGATTTATTACATTATTTATTTATAGATTTGCTGGAAACATTAATGTAGGAGATTACTTGCTAGTAAGTAATCAAACTGATCAAACGTTTGAACCATCTTCAGTGATGCAAATTACAAGAGATGTAATGGATGGTAAGTTATTTGGAATGGTCCAAATCTACCGATTTTAATGATTTATTATAATTAAACAGTAAGATACACAAACCTTACTAAGATATCATTAAAATCAGCATCCGAAACCATTTATATTACAATATGTCCAATACGTTTTACTAAACAAGATCTTCGCATCTTGGAAAGCACAATCTTCAACGGCTCACCAGTGGCCGAATGCGTGACATCATTGAACGTGAGTTCGTACCTGAACCCACGTTCAATCCGCTGAACAGCGAATTGGTCGCGCGTGTTTTCTTCACATGTCTAATACATAAATAGGGATGAGTTTCCATATAAGTTCTCCCAGGAGACACCTCCTATCAGTCCTATCACTTTCAATGATTTTTGCACCATGAAAGAGGTTCCATTGGCCTGTCTTTTCTCCAGATACAATGTTCTTCCATGAAGACATCTCCAGGATCGATTAGTCAAATCCAATAAAAAGACTTCGGAAGAATAAAATCATTTGCAATACGAAAAATCATTATTCCGAGAGATTTTCTTCAAAGTGCGATGCTAAATTTTGGAAGAAGATTGAGATTGAAGATAGGAGAAAATATATTTTAGTACAGGGTGATTCAAAAGATCTCAATACACAGACAAATAATTATTTTGCTCTTATAATCTAAGTGGGTGCATCCTTTCAACTCATGACAATTGCATGTTAATACATCTGATACATGCACGTGCATCCTAAGTGCTTCCCTTGAAGACTATTTTGTACGCAGATTTTGGAATCATCTTAATTTAAACAAATGGATTCAAATGCTGGTTTAAATGAAATTTGAGTTATTCAATTCTTACTGCATTCTGGCAGGCCTTTATGAGTCACCGTGTATAAATGTTTGTTTATTGACTCGAATTACATGTAAATTTTATAATTTCAATTATTATTTTTAGGTGCTTACGTTCCTCTTACACAAACGGGAACTTTACTTGTTGATGGAATTTTAGCATCGTGTTATGCATCGTACGATCACTATTGGGCACAGATATTCCTCTCCCCAGTTCGGTGGTTTCCAAATATCTTCAATCAAAATTCATTACAACCTGTTGGTGTGATGCCCTACGTTAAAATTTTAAAATTTTTGGCTGGTGCCCTGTTTCCTTCAAATTTGAAATTTACTCAAAATAAAGATTTCGAAGTGGAAGTTTTTCAAAATAAATTATTAATTAATGATTTTGACTTAATTTGTTCCAATTGAATTAAAATTGTCTTCGTGTCATTAACTTCATATCATTGTAAAATTTTTCTTCTTTAAGTATTTAAATTTAATTTATTATTGTATCGTATAATACAGTAAATTACATTCTGTCAATACGTGGAAAATATTTAATGTATGATACACTTTTAGGATCTATATTTCAATTACAAGTATTGTATTGTAAAAGTTTGTAGCATAGTCTATACTGTGTCACGTACTGTATACCTGTACTTTAATGTTATACTGTATACCTATACTACACCGTTGTACTGTATATTCAATTTGAAGTTGCTACATTTAGTTAAAATTCTTAGTTTGTTATATGTCAACAATTGTATAAAATAATAATACGTATTGTTTAGAAAATTAACAATAAAATTTCAACAAAATGTACGTTTTACAGTTAATTTTGAAAATACGGTATTAAAATTTTTAGTCTAAAAAGTTTATAGCAGAATATTTTTATTAGAAAATGGTCAGAAAGGGAGATCGAGATACAATTGGTTTATAACGGCTACAAATTATACAGTTGAATCTCTAAACAATGGCTGCTGACAGACAACTGAACAACGATCATTCCTTAATGGCAGCCATTTTTTCAAATGATTGCAGTTAGGAGGTGGCCTTTATTGGAGTTTGACTGTATATATTGTATGTTAGAAGTGTTCAGTTAATAAAATTTTATAAAATAGTTATACAACTTTGCTGAATTATATGGAACATATGATTGATGAAAATACTCGAGGAACCGATGATACTGACAGTAGAAGTAAACAAAATATATCTTATTGAAGTATTATATGTTTCCGCATTATCAGCACCGTCTTAATGATTATAGAAAGATAGTAGATTGCAAGAGATCAATGGACAGTTTCAAACTGCAAATGATGCATTTACCATAACTGCAATTGTAATTATATTAGTTTAAACTGGAAGCAATCTAATATATTTGAAAATAATAATAATAGTGTTAGCGCCTTTAAAAAATTCTTTTTTGTTGAAAATTAATAAGAAAAGAGCGATAAATTGTGAGCATTCGTGAAATTTGGAATGAATTTAATTACTACTTATCTGCATTTAAAACATTAAAATAATCTATTGTTTTATTCAAGGAATTAAACCGGTAAAAAGAAATATATGTTTAATTAATTATAGCAATGCCAAAAAAAGCTAAGCTGTTATTTATCAATGGGATCAACTGGTGGCCTAGTGGATGAAATACTCAGCCACCAGCTGGCTGAGTAATTTTATCCAAAACACTAGTAGTTGGTCGCGGGTTCACACCTGACCAACAGTTTGGCCAGAGTTTTTTTCAGGTTTGTCCACAAGCCCTAAAATAGGGCTAATTTCCCATAAGAAAGTACTTCCGAAAGACATTCCGCCCTTGACAGATTGTGCTGTTATATTTCATCTATTTTATCCTGTCTATCAGAAAAATTAATTTTGATAAAAGTGCCTCAATGTCAATAATTTTGACAAGTATAAAGGACAAAATCAATTAGAAGAACTTCAAAAACAGCACTTGAATTTCCGAATTTTGAACGTAAATTTACATGATGTACCTTGTAAAAGAAAAACGTACTAAGGTAAACTTAATTTACTAAAGAAATCTCATTTTGTATGGCATAAATTTATCTACAACAAATGAAAGGTGTGAATTCAGTAAACTAATTTTGCATAATTGCTTATTTCTCGTAACTGAAAGGAGATGTAAAGTTCTTTCTTTTAACGGCAGAGTGCGTTGCGATTTGCTTAAGAGCCACAAGTCTGATTGGTTACTGACAGTCATGTGATTTGACCAGCTAACGAGATCAAGTGAATTTTTTCCATTATTTAAAATTTAAATGGTAGAACTTTTAAAAATTTTATGGCTTTTAAAATTCTAAATTTTGCTTTACAATTAAAAATTTATTTTATAAGAATATAAATTATAATTTATTAAATGGTATTGCAAATAAAAGTTTTAATTTATGTCCACTAGATGGAAGCACAAAATTTTATTTATTCATTTATTTATTTTAATTTTAAATAAAAATTTATTTATACAGCAAAAAAAAAAAAGACATTAACGTTGCACAATAGACATTTAGAACCATCTTCAGTGATGCAAATTACAAGAGATGTAATGGATGGTAAGTTATTTGGAATGGTCCAAATCTACCGATTTTAATGATTTATTATAATTAAACAGTAAGATACACAAACCTTACTAAGATATCATTAAAATCAGCATCCGAAACCATTTATATTACAATATGTCCAATACGTTTTACTTAACAAGATCTTTGCATCTTGGAAAGCATAATCTTCAACG